ATTACTGTTTTAACAGCTGCTTAGTTTGTTGTAAGAGTCTTTCACCAGTTCATTTTCAGTACCTTTGCATTTTAAAAGATCTCATAATGCTGTGTGTGAGAGAATAGGTTATTTTATTCACCATTTAAGCTTAGTTTCTTGTTTTCAAGAAGGGAATTTTTCTGAAACAGAGTTAACATCCGATGTGCAATTGTTGGACTCTAATTATTAACAGAGCTTTATGTTACCACCTTGATATTTTTCTCGTTACTGCTCTTTGCTTCATTTTTCCTGCCCTTTATGATTTGGGGTTGCAGATCCTTGGAAAAGACTGAAGTGTTTTTTGTCTGATGTTTGTGTTTACATTTGTATCAAACGTTCTCCTCTACCTCCCTTTGTGTGCAGTTGTCTTTTTTTGGGTATCTTTAAGAATTTCAACAATTCTGAATTTTCACCCATGCTTGCCACGCTAAATTCAGGTCAGTTATGCCAGTGGATATTTAGAACTGTGATTTCTCTGGATGATTTTATGTGATCTTGAACTGCTGGTTCCTCGTATCTATGAAGCTTTTACATTTATTATAACTGTACTCTGTATAGTTCTGCTGAATGCACCAAGACAGTTCAGTGGAAGTAGTTTTGGAAGAATCTGTCCTGTCTGGATTATCTCTGCTCCAAACCAACTCTCAGTGACTTGTCCCTGGGCTGCTGACAGAATCAGTGCCTGGCAATGCAGCTGCACAGAGGGGGGGAAATACACCCTCCCTATGTCTCCTGTGTGTATTTCTGTACAGGTAGATAAGGAAATAAAAATGAAGGGAAGAAACCATGAAAGCAATAAAAGAGCATTAAAAATGCACTCTATCTTTGTTTGTTTTTTAGATTTAAAGCAAAAATGTGATGAGCAGTGCTGCACGTTATTTTTGGCTAATGGTTAAGTAGGCATGTTTGACAAGGTGACCATCTGAGGTGTTTCATCGGCCTTGCTTTCTTTGGTTTATAGGAGTTGGTGTGAGGCTGAACACTGGATTGTTTAAAAGCAATATTTGGGGGTAAAACCACTTTGCCTCATTCTTCCTCTGAGTTGTGTCAGTCTTATTGTTCTGATTACCTGCTGTACAGTGCAGAGTTATGTGTGAATGCTGTTCTTTATATTTACCTGGTTCTTTCTGTCAGGTATTTTTGTGTACATGTCTCCAAGAAGCAGTGCTAACAAAGTTTGATTTCTTGTTCTGTTGGTTTAACTGGCTTATGCCTAATGTAGTGTGATCTCCAATTTAATCTTAACCTGTGATTAGGATGATTACAATGCATCTCCTTTGGAGTTCACACTGCATTGTTTTACTTTGGTGCAATGACAGGAACTGTGAAGTTGTATCTTGTACCTAGCTTATGTCAGCCTTGCTAATTTTAGTGGAAATTTGTAGGGCATTACTATCCTTGGTACCCTGAGCAGTGGTGGTAGCAGGGTAGTGAGCTTCAGAGGTGTGAAACAGCTTTCTGTAGAGCAGAAGTGTTACTGTATGCATTGGTTGCTGCTCTGCTTTTCTTCTTGACTTTGAACATAGGAGGCATCCTGAAAGCTCTTAAGTTCTTGAGAGCTTGTGCACTGCCTTTACTGCCTCCTATGCTGGGGAGCTGGTAGCTCTTATAGCAGCTGTAGGGACTAATGTCCCTCTTTAAAAACTGAGCTTGTGCTATGAAGTTGGATGCTGTAGAAACCATTTCATTTCTGCACATTGGATGTGTCTGTTTTCCACGGGGTTCAAACACCCCTGCTGGCTTGCTTAGTGTGGACCTCTTACAGCATCTGCTTTCTTTCTCCCTCCACTGTGTGAGGTTAAAGCTTTTTTATTTTATCCTGGAATACAAGCTGTTTTAAAGTGACTGAGTAAGTCCTGAGAGAACATGTGGTGTGTGTGTCACTGTTCGTGTGCCCTTATGTAGCTTGACCCTGCTGCAGTTATTGTACAAAACCGAAATGCACGTGGACAATTAGCACTGAGTGTTTCTACAGCTAGATTACTGCCTGCGAGACTTACCTGCCCTCAGGCTTTGTGTCCTTTACCATGAGAAGGCTAAAAGCAGTTTCTGAGCATCACCTGGATATGTTCTTCCTGCAGCAGCTCTCCCAAATCCCAAAAGACTCCCAGGCTCTTCGGAAGGCCGCTGAGGGGAACTGAGTCATGAATATGAATGGCCTTCTCTCCTCCCCGATATCCCAAATGATGTTGCTAGGATATTCTTTGTTTGCCTTTCTTATCCTTTCTTATCAACTCTGTCATCCTTTCTTTAATTACATTCAAATTTAAGCTGCAAAACCTTGGCATAATCTTATTTTGCTTTTCTATTGTTGTATGTATGTATTGTATGTTGTATGTTTCTGTTGTTGTATTTTGCTGCTTTTGCTTCTCTGGAATCTTTCTCCAGGTTCCAGTTTTCTCCACGTACGCTCCCTTTTTGTTCGGGATTGTCACTGTACTTTGTGTTGGAACAGGATTTCGGTTGGAAATGATCATGTGAGAATTTCATAAATTATTCCGAGAAAATTATATTTTTCTGTTCTTATCTTCTCAGGACTAAGAAGTCAGGAGGGGAAAGAAGTGGTTGCTTATTCAATGGATTACCTGTTTCTAATGAGCGAGGCCATAGAGTAGGCCTAAGGAGTGAATTCCTGTAACTGGAAGAACTCGTGTATTTTTCATAAAATGTTTCTTCATTTTCAGTTTGCTTGCTCTGTATGAGCCCTATAACTCAAATTTCTTGAGCTTCCAAGTTCAGTTATTGCAGCTACGTCGAGGAAAAACGTGTGGGGTGTTTTTGTTTGGAGATGGAACCTGTTCTTGTTTTCTTAAAGATTTGAAGTGGCTTAGAACTTCTGGTTTTCTTTGAAATGCTCACAAGAAGGTATTAAAATACTGCATTCAAAGTCATGAGCCACATTTTTAAGTTTAATGTATCAGATAGATAGTAAAGTCTGGCGTTTATGAAAGTGACACCAGTTCTCATTTCAAGATAGTTGGAACAAATACATAATTAAAAGTGTTTTATGAGCACTGCAATGACTAGTGAATAACTCTTTGGAAAATCCCTGAAGAGAGCTAACAGTACAAAAAACACAGTGTATGGAATGATAGAATACACACTCTCTTTTGCTTTTTTGGCTCTTAGGAGTGTAGAAGACAAAGAATCAGATGGGAGAGGGGAACTTAGGTTATTTCAAGCTATGTAGGTAGAACGGGTTAAGTAGGCAAAGCTGATCTCCTGGCATCTTCCAAGAGCAAGGCTCAAAGATTCTGTCTTCATGTTGAGGGATTTGGCTACTGCCGGTTTTGCAGATAAAGACATTGAGGCCCTGGAACGTGTTCAAAGAAGGGCAACAAAGCTGGTGAGGGGTCTGGAACACAGGCCGTAGGAGGAGAGGCTGAAGGAGCTGGGAATGTTCAGCCTGGAGAAGAGGAGGCTCAGGGGAGACCTCATTGCTCTCTATAACTTCCTGAAGGGAGGTTG